AATGAATAGCATTATCATACGAATTAAAGAATTCGAGCCATTTACTGGGATCACCAGCAAATTTTTCAATATTTAATTTAGGTAACTTTACTGAAGCACTACTTGTAACAACATTATTACCATTCAGAGTACTACTAATACCATTACTACTTGCAATTATACTTCTTTCAACAACTTCATTACTGTTAATTTTCTTTACTTTACTAACAATCTTAGCTTTAAACGTTATAATTTTTTCATCATATTCTTCACATACAAGTAGTTCGTTATCATATTCTTTTTCATCAATTATGAAGATTTCTTAGAACATAGAAATAACATTTTATTAACGATAAACTTATATTACTTCCGCCTATAGCGGCCATGAAACATAATCAAGCATCAAATAAATATGACATGCGTCATTGTTCATGTTCAAGCATCAAGTGATATATTTTTCATCGGCGCGCATCAAGAGCGCCACCTATCTACCAAAAAGACGGAACACCATCCTTCTAAATAATTTTTTAATTCATAGTAGAAATCATACCAAGTACTTTCAGTAGATTTTTGGTGTTATTAAATAGTTGTCGAAATTTTTCCGCAGTCAATTTAAATCGTTGTAACAGTAAAGTTTTTACATATTCATACTTTTTTGCTTCCTCTTCTGGTTCTCTAGCAATAAGCTGAACAATGTCAGGAGGCAGTAATGAAATAAGTTGAGTCACTTGATTTTCAGCAGGTATATTCATTATTTTAGCTTGACGCTCAAATAACACCAGGAATAAACTTATTTCATCTTCTTTAGGGTTGAAACGTGGCATGACATCGTGAATTCTGATTTTTAAAGGCTGCTCAGGTAACTGCGTAGTTTCTGCCGACTGTGATGTGGCAGCCATTGCTTCCAGTTGAAGTTTCTGTAGCTCAAAGGCTCTAATTCGCTCTTCTCTTTCAAGCTCTTCTTTTCTTTCTTCTCTTTCGCGTTCTTCTCTTCTTTCTCTTTCTTCTCTTCTTTCTCTTTCTTCCCTTTCGCGTTCTTCTCTTCTTTCTCTTTCGCGTTCTTTTCTCTTTCTCTTTCTTTCTTTCGCATTCTTCTTTTCGTTCCTTTCTTTCCCTTTCTTCTCTAATTGCAGTCAGTAGTTCTCGAGTAAACTCCTCATCATAATCGGGACTTTCAGTAATCAATTAATAATGCAACTGAGCAATCTTAAATTCAGCTTTTCACGGTTAAATCTAACTCTTCTGCTAGTACTTTTAAATACTGTTTTTACTTTCCTAGCTAAAGAATGACATGTTGACACAAGTTACCTTTAATACGCTTCCTTTTGAAATTGAATCTAAAAGATCGTACTTGTATTAAAAATATATAATTTCTGCGTACAATACGCTTACTTTCTATTTTCTCTTAAAAATACGAAATTCACACTAACCAATTGGAGAGAATTATTTAAACAACTTTGCCAGGTTGGCACAAAATAATTTAATACTACGTCGGGTTGACGTTTTAACTCACTATTCACAAGCCTCGTTAGCTATAACTATATAAACACCTTTGCCAGTTAGGCAATACAATGGAATTTTACCAACGTCAGTTTGACGATTTTACTATCTATCTCCACACCTGGTTGGCGATAACGAAAACAATTTTTGCCAGTTTCGCAATACAACTTTTAGAATATACAATCTGTAATACGTCGGGATGACGTTGCTATCTACCACACGCCTGGATGGCGAGAACTAAGAAAAAACCTTTTGCCAATTCTGCAGTATAATTAAATCACACTACGTCAGTTTGACGTTATTACTTATTTTCACGCGCCTGCTTGGCAACAAATTCAAAAACTCAGCTAGCAGTTCTTTTTTTTTATAAATGCCGGGATGGCTTACACATATCAATTATCAACATAAAAATTCAATACAAATAGAAGTAAAGCATAAATAATAATTTTAAAATACTTCTTTACCACAAATATCAATTATAAATTTAAGCTGAATATTCTTAGTGTCAGTTATTTTAAACAAAATCTTACACGATATACTATAATTCTGAAACAAAGTATTAAAATTCAATAAAAGCTTTTTAAGAAAACCAAAAGTTAATCTTATCTTCAGAGATCACCAGTATCCTGTTTTTGACAATTTTTTCTCGGATGCAAGTTATAGAAGCACAGAAGATAACCTTAATGATCCGCTTCAAATCTGGATTTAAAACAGCAGACTTCTTACATCCATTTCTCTTGAAATAAACAAACTCGGGAATTGGTATTAGCAAACTTGTTCTAAAAAATTCAGCAAATTTCTGGGATTAGGAGACCAGCACCATCAAAATTGATAATTGCACTCCTAATTTCCAGTATCTCGGTGGAACCTCCAATTAATTAAGACTGTAATGTATTTTGCAGTAATTTACAAAACAGACAATCTTCTTAGCAGAACATAAATTTTATTTCTAGTTCACAGTGATAGACAAATTTTATACAATTCTTAAGTGCCAAAATTTTCATACTTCTCCTAGCTGGTAAAATCTTCGGAATACTAAATCTTTTTAAAACAATATCTCTCGTTGCTGAGTAACGGTTTGATACAAATATGACGTTGCCACTTCAACAATAATTATATTTATTTATTAAATAACAAGATATTACACTCTATTTAATAAAAACTTAATCTGACCTATGTGCCTAATTACAAATATTTTAACATACATAATTTTACATTTACATTTAGCCATCAAGTTTCATACTTTTCAAATCTTCTAGAAAATAAATTTTGGCAGATCTCTTTTAGCAATTTTCTTAAAATCTATATTTTGTAGTGCAACAGCTTAGAATTTTTATAAACAAATTCATAATCAAAATCGCTGTTGTTAGTTATCGAAAAATAACCAAGATGTAATTTTTGCGTAAATGTCACTAAACTATACAAATTGCTATTATCCATCACACTATGAATGTTTCTTTCATGCAAGAGTGTCCCTTTTTCGATTTCTATGGAACTGTCGTGTGTCGAAATACTATCAGAATCTTGTCAAGCGAGCTTCTGAATGTAAACAAAGAACACCCCGTCTGGTGACCCAAGCTTCAAAGCAGTGCTTCACTTCTAGCGCGGAATGGCCCCTCCTCCCTTTCCTACCTCCATGAAAAAAATAGTTTATCCCAAACAGATTCATGGATGATTAACTGATAAGCCATTAATTATGCAAATAATATTGCATTTGAATTGCAATTAATATTGCATTGTCCATGAATTGTGTTTTATGGACATTAATATTTTTTTATCTTCCCCTGTGTACACGTATAAATAAAGGCATTCTAAAAATCATCTTCAAAAACACTACCTGATTAATTATTACTTTCATTATTTATATCAGACTTTTCTATAAAAATTCTTAATTTTATAGAAAAAATCAGACTATCAGTCAAAGTTGTGTATCATCCACATATTCATAATTCTCTGTAAGCCTACTTAGAAATCAGCAAAATTTATTATGCAATAAATCAAGTTATATATAGGATATTTTGATTGTTTTAATGATCTATAGCTATATTAATTGTATGTGCTTCTGCTCACCAGTTTTTAACTTGCAATAGCTACCCCTGCCTTGTACTAACTAAACTGTCAATTAAAAATAAATAATTAGCAAGATCAGAATATATACATATATAACAAATACAACAATTTCTATAATAAAATTATTAAATTATGTATCAAAATGAAAGTAAAATATAAAAAAAGAAATATGCATATTATAAAAATTGATAAACATATAAAATGGCAATAATATTGATGATCAAAATACCAAGTGTAGAAGATATATAATTTTACAGAAACAAAACAAACAAACAACAAACAAACAAAAAAAAAAAAAAAAAAAAAAAAAAAAAAAAAAAAAAAAAGGTATTTTTGATATATATAAGGAAACTATTTCAATTTTTCAGCTTTTTTTACTACATTCTTTATTTTAATTACATTTCAAAAACTTTAACACTAAATGGAGAATAATAATAAATCCTTCACTTTTACACTTCTTAAACATCAGAAAATATTTGATTTTTCAATATTTTTTAAAATTAATATATATATATATATATATATATACAAAGTTCCATAAATTTCATATAATAAAATATTATTCTTTTGAATTATACTTACCACAATGATTTTCTAAAGAAGAATATAATTCACTCTTACTTTTACATGTAATGATGAATTAGTAACGCTTTTGTTTTGAACAAAAATTTCTTTTGCACTTGACACAATGATAGGGCCTTTCACTAGTATGTGAATGCAAATGAACTTTTAAATGGACCTTCTGCCTAACACTCTTATTGCATACCTAACAATTAAAAGGTTTCTCCCCAGTGTGAATATATATAAGGTGTTTCAATGAACTTTCATATAAAAACATTTTACTGCATATAGTACACATAAAACCACCTGAATTTGGTTGACAAAGTATATTGGTGCTGCAAAAGTTCACATCCATGATTGCTTTCACACTCCAAATTATTCTGAATTACTTGATATTTTTCTCTGGAACATTCTTCTTGCTGAGTTTTTGTATTTGTGATACCCCACTTCAAATTTATGCCTATAAGTGATGGAAAAAAGCTGATATGTCTGACGATTAATTATACAAAAATATTTATATTAATAAAATATACAATTATTGCAGAATTAGCATTATTAGTGCCTGCTGTTTGAAAGTAATGCAAACTATATATATTTACAATTAGTTCAATGCAGTAGTACACATACTTGCTCTTTAAATGATTTTCATTTTAGGATACATAAAAAAATTTAATTCTTCTTATTCAATATCCAAGTAATTTAATTTTTAAATGAATTTAAAGCAAACAGGAAACATTCAAACATTTGTTTATTTCAGCAAAAACATTCTAATAATAATGTAAAATATTGAAAAATAAATAAAATTTCAAATTATAATCAACTTATTATACTTTATGAGCCCGAGTATGAGCAATAAAAGTACTTCTCTTTATAAACTGTCTCCCACATACTCTACATACAAAAGGTTTAACTGTACTATGAATAAGCAGATGTTGGCCAAGTGAAGCTTTCTGATTGAATTTTTTTCCACAAAACTGACAAACAAATGGCCGTTCTCCAGTATGTACATATAGATGTCTTTTTAAACGGCTTTGAAACAAAAAATCTTTACCACAGTACCTACATGTTTTTGATGAAGAGTTTAAGCGAGTCTCTGGTGAAAACATTACACTTAATTCTGGTACCGCTTGAATGCTAGATGGGTGCTGCAGAACATCAAGAGAAAAATGAGAGTTATTTCCTGTTTCATGTCCTGAAGAAGGTTCACAAGATTCTTGGTTTAAACTTGTATCTGATCTAATTGTCTTTGTTACACCTTAAAAAAAAAAAAAAAAAAAAAAAAAAAAAAAATTCAAAAGTAGAATTACATTTTTAAAGAAACAAAGAACTTAAATATTAGTTCATGCAACTTTGCTTCCTCACAAAATATAATATTAAAACAGATTTCATCAGCTAAGCTTAAACTAGTTAAACTAAAACTATCTTACATGCTAATTGCAATTATGTAATATAATTAAAAAATTTAAACTAAAATTATACATAATTAATATTTACTAAATTATAAAAAGTTTAAAAGAAGAATATAATACATAGGAATTAATTTTGTATATTTGAATTGGCAAAAAGGGTACATAATAAGTATGGAAAGGAATATTTTTGTTAGGAAAGATACATTAAATAATTTATACAAAACAAAACAAAACAAAAAGTAATTTAATCTAATTTGGCAATATAATATAAAAGGAATACTGAAAAGTTACACATTATTATTGCAGTTACTACATAAAACATAAGTAAATCTTACATACTACCAGACATAAAATAAACACAAACAACTAGAAACTTATTTCAGATATTACTTTGTATTTTTCTCATGCAATAGATTATTAAAGCTATATGTTAGAAATATTATCAGTGTTGTTTTATATATTGTTATGCTGCATAAGTTAACATAAAATTTAAATTCTGTTAAAATATAACTTTATTAATTAATTGCCATTTAAATAAATGAGAACAATAAAATTCCTGTTGTTTAAATCTTCAGCAAACAATGCAAATGTAATCTCTAAAGTTGCTTTGGATAAAGCAGTAACAGAAACTTTAACACATGTTTTCATCAACCTGCTCTAAACATTCAAACTAACCTATCAGCATTTGCATTTTTAAAAACTGAATCTGCTTTGGTAATGTTGCCACAGAAATTTCATCATTCTTATTATACTGATTTGAAAATTCTAAATAACCCTTCCAGTATTTGAATTATGTACACTTTGCACATAAAAAAGGGGGGGAGTTCTATATATCTAATTCTACTAGATCGATTATCGAAATTTATGATGCTATAAGATGATTCTGTTACAGAAGATAGACAACAGAATATTTAAAATAACAGAATATTTATGCTATAAGATGATGGTTAAAATTTTATAGGTCATAATTCAATATTTTTTTGAAAAATTTATAAAAATTATTTAAAAATACAAATTTTAAAAATAAATCATAAAAAATGGGCGAATTTTATTTGAATTGAACCTAAATTTCAAAATGTGAAAGGAAGAATCAAATAAGTTTAATACAAAAAGAGAGATTAATAAATATATACCAAATTCAATTGACATGGAGGAGCTAATACATTTAGAGCTAATTTTTTTTTAATTACTTGAGACATTTTTACATAACTTGGCACTCTGGCATAATTTCAGTTGTAGAATTGAAATATGGAAAAAAATGTATATGTTATTTCAGAAAAAGTGCGATTTTTTGCCAAAATACCTGTGTTAGAACAATGCTATATATAAATTTAACATATATTCTAAGTTGCGCTTTTGAGACATGGAAAATGCCAGTTAAATTTCGATAATCAATCCAGTAGAAGAGAGATATAAATCTGTCTCCACCTCTTTTTTTTTTTTTTTTTTTTGTGCTAGGTATACATTCATTAATTACATAAGTAGTTTAGGTACTTGGTATTTTTTGTCTTTGGCAAACAATAAATGTCACCAAGCAGTATGAATAAACACTAATGAATACGCATGATGTAAGAACACAAGCAAAAAAAATCTTTGCTTTTGTTTTATAAAACTCCAATTCTCACAAAACCAGCTTTCTTTCTGCAAAGAAAAGCATAAGTTAACTGCTTTTCACATTTATTAAAAAAAATATTAAATTTGGGAAACGCCTTCTACAAAACAATAAGCAAAGGAGTACTTTCAAAGTTCCAGGGCATATACATGCTCAAAACATTCAATGATTCTAGGGTTCAGGAAAATGGTCCAGTAAAAAATCACTGCACGGTCATGATGCAATATCAGTTTAATGCCTTTTTAAACAAATTTATGTACTGCTAAGATCACAAAGACAATGATTTTTTGTTGCTATTTTAAATGCGATCAGGAATTTTTGACTACTGGAATGATTGGCATGTGTTTTGATAAATTTGTTTGTCAGATAATCTCAAAGTTTGAGCTAATATTTATTTCAGTTTTTATATATTACATCCGTAATTTATATCTGCTGATTACCTAACTAAATAAAAATCAACTTGTTCCTCAACTTCTGCTGGAATGATTCGTTCAAGTTTGGTAGTATCCCAGCCAAGCTTCACAGTTAACAGGAAATTCTATAAGTACTATAATTTTAAAATGCTAAATTAAGACATGCATAGTTTATAGTTTAATTATATACTATAACTAATACTGGCAAACATTGGTTTTGTGATAATGTTTCACTATCCGTGAATTATGAATATTTTATGGTAAATTAAAGTGAAGCAGTATAAACTACATAAAGATCATTATTTTATGGTTGTTTGTCAGATAATCTCCAAAGTTTGAGCTCATATTTATTTCAGTTTTTATATATTACATCCGTAATTTATATCTGCTGATTACCTAACTAAATAAAAATCAACTTGTTCCTCCAAACTTTTGCTGGAATGATTCGTTCAAGTTTGGTAGTATCCCAGCCAAGCTTCACAGTTAACAGGAAATTCTATAAGTACTATAATTTTAAAATGCTAAATTAAGACATGCATAGTTTACAGTTTAATTATATACTATAACTAATACTGGCAAACATTGGTTTTGTGATAATGTTTCACTATCCATGAATTATGAATATTTTATGGTATATTAAAGTGAAACAGTATAAACTACATAAAGATCATTATTTTATGGACTAACAAACATAAAAAAAAATCGAACAACTTACCATTTACATATGCCTAATTAGTTAAATATTACCAAATAATTTCTGTGTTCAATAATAAATATTTTGAATGCTTTGTAAAATTTTTCAACATGCATAAACAAAAGAAAATGGAATAAAGAACACAAAAATACTCACTAGTAGTAAAACAATACATTTATCTTTACATATCTCATAAAATCTTATGAATGTATGCCCAAAATATCATACGTATAATCTAATGCCCTGAAATATCAATGGAAAAGTGAATTTATTTCAACTTACAGTTCAAAACATTTTGCACAGTTTACCGTATTTTAAAAAACTGTTTTTTGGCACCCAATAATTACTATTAAATCACTTTATCACATGACTGAATTACCGAATAATTTTTACAATTAATATACAACAGATAAAGATTAACTTTCAAAGGCAATTATTTAAAAGAGAAACTGTATCAGTTTCACATAGGGAGAATTTCATTAATCACTTCATTTGAGCATAAATAATATGATGCAAAATGATGAAGTAAGCCAAAACATTTGCACTTTCTGATTATCCCCCTTATATACAGACAGAGAAAATAAAGTAACCAATGGGTTGGCAATTTTGTGAATTGGCAGAAAAATTTGTTTGGTTACTTCTATGGCTAAAAATTAAATAATAAAAAGAAGGTTTTTATAAACAAGAAATTTCATGGGGTTGGGAGTAGGACAAAAATCTATGAGAATTTTTAAAGCCTGTAAACAAAGCTGGATTAACAACTATGCAAAATAAGCACATAATCAGAGCATCAAGGAAAGGAGGTAACACAAAATTTCTTTTCACTGTTTTACTATGGAATGTATAATATGGCTAAACTAAGACTTACAAAGAAAAAAAGGGGAAAAAATTGCATGAATGTATGGGGATACGCAAAACTTAAATGCGTACAGCTGAGTCTTAATATGGCCCTGTTAATGAATACTATTCAGTGAAATAACAATTAAATATAAAGCATATAAATCCATGTATACTCAAACACATGTGTTGTGTGTGCATACCTGAATTTACTACAGTTATGTGTATGCTGAAAAATAAGCCAAAACATGGCAGTTTTAGCAAATGTTGAAACGAGTGATAATGAAAAAATGAATAAAGGATAATGAAAAAGTAACTATTTGTTATATATAGCAATTATACATACAGCAGTATATGAAAGCAAATTTTCCTTTAAAACTAGGAGATGCTAAATATGGAATATTCAGTACAGAAGTTTATTTCAATATTTAATATTAAAATATAGAACCTGAATGTATATATTTAAAACATTTCTATGTAAAACACAACACAATATTAATATAATTCAACACATCAGTTGTATTTAACATGCTACATAACTACGTATGTTAATTTCTAAAAAATAAAATAATAAAAAAAAAATTATGAAAAGATAAAGAATTTCACAAAATACTCCCCTCCCTCCAAAAAACAATAAAAAAATGCTTCTATCTGCAGTAAAAAGTTTTAAAAAAATACTGTATTGAGCTGAATAAGCTTGTAGTTACTGCTATTTCACAAAACATCTAAGAATTTGGCAAATACTACTACAGCTCTGATGTTTAATACACAAGAGGTATTTTTGCATTTTCTGATAAAAAGTACACAAATCATAATGTGATATCTACTTATAATGTGAACTATATGACAAATAGATTTCAATTAGTCAAATACAACTCTGATAGACATACCAAATTCTTAATATAAAAAAGCATGACAAAAATATTATACTAGTATAGTGAAATACTGATGAAAAGCTACACATTCTAAATTGAAAAATTATATTAGAGAAAACACATAGTCAGTTAACTAGATATTTTTTGGTAGCTTCTTATAATTCAGATACTTTTTTTAATACTTCAATACAATACTTCTGTAAATATATATGCTTCATTTATACAGGACATCTTGCTTATTTGTACATATTTTCTTTTATAAGTTTTTTAATTTAAAAATGAAACTAACTTCTTAATTATTAAAAAATAATTAACCTGACATCACACTTTAATAAAGCATTTTAAAAGTGTACAGGAGTTATTTTCTATCTTAGTTAAATACACAATTTTTTTTTTTTTTTTTGAGTGTACAAGACATCAGGTTCTAACAACTTGTTGAGTCACTAGGCTTATTTGGAAGCAGGAGTCATGAAAAATGAGCAGCGCCTTCACCGGGAGTCGAACCACAGACATCTGGAATATGCACCCAACATGCAGACCACCACACAAGCAATGGCAAGAAACTCCAACTCCAACTTGCTTTATTTGCCGCGATTAACCTGCGAAATCGCAGGTTGTGTTCCGGCTATCGAACTTTGGTGCTTCTAGGAGCGCTGCAGGTAAGGAAATGCCGAACGTAGTTCTCGTGGAGACAGGATAGCAGATGCAGGGGGTGTGACCAATGTCACGTGATGAGCGATAAGACATCTGGTTGGCGATGAGGTATCCAGGCATCGTAGCGCTGTAAATCTGAAGTTTTACAATAGTTATACATAAAATAGTACTAAATCAGTTCATAAAAGGTGTGTGTTGCAGTCATAAATGCAGAAAATAAAATACGATTCCAAAAAGTAAATAGTATATACAGGAAAAATATAAGTAATATCTTGTGGGCATGGCTGTGTGTGTCACATGATCATCCGGCTAAGATTTCTAAACATCATTATTTACAAGTCAAATAAGTTTTTCACTACATACTTAAAAACACAAATTATGTTGGAAAATCCTGGTTTCCACTGAGTAGAAAAGCGGCATATGGACGGAGGTGCCTGTCCTCGTGTAAAATTTCATAGTGAAATAGGTTGAAAATGTCCATATGTTGGCACTCCTTAGCGGCGTCAATGGCAAGAAAGCGGGAGAAATACCTTATATACTCCCCCTTTTAAAGGGTGACTAGGCTTTTTAGGGGATCCAATCACCAAATACTGGGTGTGGAGAATC